TACAGTATTCATGTAAAACTAATACAGTGTATTGTATTAGCGTAGAATTGTGAATGCAGTTTTACAGCCTTGACATATCAGGATTTAGAATCAGCTTCTCCCTGTGTGGGTTTCGAGGGTCCTGTTGTGGGAAGGAAAAAACGGGACCCACTGCCTCCCCAAAAAGCATGTTGTAAGAGTCGACTAACTGGGGGTTTCCTTCTAAGTCAGAGTGCATCTGCCTGAGAGGCGGGAACCAACAGTCTGCATACAAATAAATCAGATCTGTTAATCGGATGTGCACACAACACTTGGGTTTTGGAACAAGACTAAAGTCCAGAGGTGGAGTTTACAGCCAGTGAGCACAAAGAAAAAGAAGTATCAGCTGCAGTCGACTTACTAGCAGACCGCTTTGTGTTTGAGAGTGGTGAGAAGCAATATGAAACCACTGAATGTAAAATTGCCAGCTAAAACCACATAAGTCAATAAATGCTGGGGTTAATTGGCAAACTAACAATTGATATATTCTTGTTATAGTCTGTGCCATGTGGCGTTAAAAGTCATATCTTTACACAGCCTTCTGTCTCTTGTACTTTTACTAATTTCTGACACAGATGATCTTCCATGCTGTGATGTGAAACCTCGAGCATCTTCTCTCTTGGTCTCCTAGTCCATCCTTTTCCCTCTAACTTTCTCACTGTCACAATGTATTTCAGTTTTCTCCTTCTCTTCAGTTTTCTCCTTCTCTTGATGTTGCCAATGAATGTAGATTGTCTCCTTCTGATGCAGGTAATTAGTTCTCTTTCTAAGCTAATTTTTTCTATACAGCTTCAATACTCTTATTATATGTTTAGTGTTCTCATAATTCGCCTATTAAACCATGTCTCTGCTGCTTGCATATAATTTCTCACTAATCGGCTAACAATTTCTTACACAAATATATTTTCAATGACACCTTGAGACTCATAACATCACTGCCTATCAGGCGACTGAGCGCGCCCTGGCTCAGCTGCCAATCATCTGATGAACTGGGACACCTAGCGGAATAAGCAGATATTGACAAAAGAAAGAAGAAGAATTTATAACAAATGGGCGATTCTGAGAAACCTAAAAGCTCCTAAACAGTTATTTTTTGTTCACATAATTTTGTGTTGTTGTTGGCAAGCCAAGCATCTTCTTTACTGCACCAGAATATACCAATTTTTAGGATGGTGTAGGACAGAAGTGAGATGAATATGAATGGGCCTGGGGATTTAAGGCCGCATGGGTAGTACAGTCACCATGAACTGTGCAGGTTGGATTTTTTTAATTTTTGGTCTCATGCACAAGAGCACAGAGTCTAGCCACTGAGCCAGCTGCTCCTCTAAGAAATATAATTAAATCAAGTAAAGAAAACCTTTTCCATACCTTGAGGATATTTGTCATATGGTGTTAATAAAAACATAGACCAACTGGCACTCAGTAGGTAATGTGGTCAGCATGAGAATGGATACATTGTCTTCCCTTATAATTTCCTGATACTCAGTTTAGACCTGGTCAACCTATGAGTCCAATGCTTTTTTTTTTTTTTTTTTAATATTCTCTCTCAGTAGGGATTTCAAACATGTGACCACTAAACCATCAGTCATTACAGATAAATTTGTTATAAGAAATTCTTGTAAATTAAGCCTTGAACAGTTGTATTTTCTTTATAAACATCTTTTACCTGGATTACTATTAACCTATCCTTGATATCTGTTTGTAAAATAATTCTCATTAGAATTAAATGGGTAGCGGACAAAATCATGACAGAAGAACAAGCAGGTTTTCGACCTCGAAGAAGCTGCTTAGATCAAATATTCACTTTAAGACTTACTTACTTTTGAGGTTTCATTGAAAAAAACTACTCTTATTTTGAATTTAATAGACTTTAATCCTTTGGAGATGACTCGGCCGATCTATTGGCCCAAAGCAAAGTAGCCAAAAAGACGGCTGGGCCAATCGGTCAGCCCTGTAATACAAGCCTTGAGATTGGCTTGTAGGTTTTCATACAAGCCAGTCAAATTGCTTCTCATATTTCTTGCACATTTGGGCTGATCAGTGACAGCTTCTGAGAAAGTTTTATGAGTTCTGTAATTTTACATTAATATTTTTTTAGGGGGGGGGGGGGGGGGGGGGGGGGGGGGGGGGGGGGGGGGGGGGGGGGGGGGGGGGGGGGGGGGGAGGGGGGGGGGGGGGGGGTGGGGGGGGGGGGGGGGGGGGGGGGGGGGGGGGGGGGGGGGGGGGTACTTGTGTCCAAATGACTTGCATCATATCAACCAAAATATAGTAGGAGGCAGGAAAAGGAGTGGAACCATGTGCCAGAGGTGTCTGGGGGGCCTATATGGGCATTGCTTTCCAAAACACAAGTGTTGGGACCTATTCAGGCTTCATTCATCAGAAAATTTAGCCAGATTGTTTAATTAAGTCATGATTCTCCTAAGTAATTAAAAAAATGCATGCATAAATATGTTAATTTGAAGAAAAAAAAAATGTGAGATGTCAGTGTGATTCATAAAGATTGTGTTAGTTCATTCAGTTTCCTACACAAATATATGTAGTTTTTTAGAAGTTAATTAAACACTTTCTTTTTATTTACATATAAATATATAATTTTTGTGTGTGTAAGCTATGAGAATCCTTTCCTGAAGGCTCTGTCTTGTTTTAGTATTGAATCTCCAAAAAAAAAAGATTACAGAAGGTTTAGAAGGTTTTGATAGTTTATATCAGGGCCATTCAAATGGCAGCCTGTGGCTCAATCTGGCCCTCCAAGGCCTAGAAAGCGGCCTACGGATCATTGCCAGTTGTATTGTCTTAGTGATCTTTGTATGATTAGGCTCAGAACTCTGGTTTGTGAAAATCCTTATTTTAAAAATTGACTGACTGACGGCTGACTTTCTACCCCACCAGGACATCAAACAAGTGATAAACACCCGATGACACAAAGTGCCACCATGTGGATGAGGATCACTGTGGAGAGATCCCAGAAACCGCGTTCAGACAATTGGCCACATTGATGGCCTGCCTATATTGCGGCCCCTGGCAAAAGCCAGGGTGGGGCTTCAAATAACAAAAAATGTGGTCCTAAAAAGGGCGTAAGGATTGGACTCATTTAAAAAATTGTGTCCCTTGAATAAATTTAGTTGAATAGCCCTGGTTTACATATACATCACTATTTTGGAATGCTATAGTATACCAAGGAAAATAATAAATATTATTAAGTCAATGTATGAAGGTTCAGAGTGTGCAGTGCGAACAGATGATGGTTTAAGTCATTGGTTTGAAAGTCAATACTGGAGTGAAACAGGGATCCATTTGATCTCCTCTGTTATTTGGCATAACCCCTTACTGGATGATGAAAAAATGTGTTGGAAACACCAACATTGACTGGGGTGAAAAACACACTGTTGAAAAATCTTGATTTTCCTGTGATATTGTTCTTTTTAAAAAAAAAAAAACAGCAATTACATGCAATTAAAAATGGATGATTTGGTCAAATATAGCATCAAGGGTTGGACTACAAATAAGTTATGAAAAAAAAAAAAAAATATTCTGAAGACACAACCACAGATCAAGCAGATATAACACTAGAGACAATCAAAAGGTCATTATATGTGGGATGCCAATTTTTTATTATTTGAAGCCCCACCCTGGCTTTTGCCCTGAATATACCCAGGCCATAAAAAAGGGGTTTCCTGGACCTCTCCATGGATGATCCTTATCCGCATGGTGGCACTTTGTGTCACTGAGTGTTTATTGTTTGTGTAATGTCCTGGTGGGGTACAACTTACATACGTACATATATACTAGAGACAAAGTGTAATTAAAGTAACAGATCAGTTGACTTATTTAGGTAGTAATTTTGATAGTGAAGGAAATACAGAGAAAGAAATTATAACACGTATTCGCAAGGCATCAGCAGTTTTTAATAGCCTGAACAAAATATGGAACTTTTAGTTGTATAATTTCAAAACCAAGTTACATACTTTCAGGTCTAATGTTATTTCAGGTTTAACATATGTAAGTGAAAGTTGGAGAACCACTAAAGACACGGAAGGAAAGTTAACTGCATTCTAAAGCACATATCTGAGAAAAATTATAACAATAAAATGGGTTAAATTCAAAATGAGTGAAAAAATAACAGAAATGCCTGCGCAACTACTAGTATCAACAGTTATAATACAGAGAAGATGATGCTACACTGGACACACACTGAGAAGATATCAGCAGAAAATCACCAAACAAGTATTAAAAAAGGGAGATTGAGGAGGCCCAAAAGAAACCCTAAGATGAACGTTGATAAGTGAGGCCAAAGCTGCTGGACTGGATTTCATTCATGATTTTGAACTGATCACACAGGATAGAACGCAGCTGAGGAATAGATTGGGAGCCCTATTTGACATATAATGGCACAACCGGATAATGAATGAATTAATGAATCCTTGATATCCATTTTATTTAGCAGTATCATTTTCAGCCTCCCAGTGTGGGCTTTGGGGAACCAAGAATATACTCGCTGCATCCCCACCAAGCATACAATAGTAGTCAACTAACTGGGGACTTCCTTCAATTTCGTTGAGCATCTTCCCGAGCTGCAATGAACAACCAACTGCACACACAAAAGTCAGTAAAACAAATGGGTTTTGGGTGTACATCAAGCCCTGGCACAAAGCCAAATGGGCGAACAACCAGGACTTTTTGCCGGAGCTTACAGCCGATGAACAAAGAAGATGATTTTCAATTTATGTTGTTTGATGATGAAGGTTTTCTTGCCGCCGAGCATTCATTTTGTTATTTATGATGTCATTTTATTAGAATAACTAACAAGTTCTGTTTATCATTTCTATTCATTTTCTCTCTTATCTATTGAAATGCACTAGTATTATGGAAAACAGTTATTCCATGTATGTTAGAAGTGAATTTCTATAGATGGGGTCATTTAATTTTCATACATCTTTTTTTTTTTTTCCCAGAGTTTTGTGACACTACAACCAATAGGTGCAATGAAGTCTGTCTTTCACTTTAAAAATGGCACACCTCGGCAGTCGTCACTGTGTGATGGAGCTCGGGGTGTTATTACTATAGACAAGAGCATCTTCAACAACCCTGAACATTCTCTAGAAGGCTTGGAACAATTTTCACATGCCTGGTAATGATTTTTATTAAACAGTATATTATCATTAATTGACTGTATTGTGTAGCTTCCAGGGCTCCATTGAGACAGCTGCTCCTCTAAGACATCTAATTAAATCAGTTATAACACTCAGGTTCTGGAACAAGAATAAACCCCAGAGGTGGACAGACAACCAGAATGCTGAGTTGTAGTTTACAGCCTGTCAACACATAAAAGTTCTAAATTTCCTATCAGTGTGTGGTGGTATGTAAGACATAAAAAGTCCAAGTACATTTTACGTTCAGAGAATTCTCAGCACATATAAAACATGACATATGATAATGATGATTTTATTATTCTTATTTGGTATTTTAGTCTTTTGAACTCACTGACAGACTGCTGTTTCTAGGAATATTTCATGGTGAAACCCCAGTCTTTTATGCAGAGCAACTTTCATAAAACTATCTGAAACCACAAGAAAGTTTTTTTTTATTTAAATAAACCACTCACTATGGATTCTAATGCTATTACTTGAGAACTATGACATTGCTCAACACATTCACTAACCTCTGAGCCACAGAGCTGCACAAGGATTTTGTTGTGCCCTTAAAAATTGTTTTCAAAATTTCATTTAAAAGAACACATTCTTATAGGGACATCACACAAGCGATAAACACCCTGTGACACAGAGTGCCACCATGCTGATGAGGATCACCTGTAGAGAGGTCCCAGAAAGCCTGTTCAGCCGTTAGGCCATATATATGGCCTGGCTATATTTAGGGCCCCCGGCAAAAGCCAAGGTGGGCCTTAAAATAACCAAAAATCGCATCCGACATGGGGACGACCTGTATGAATTGTTTACCACATCCTTATAATCTACCCTAAGAAACTAGGAGGAATGAGAAGAAATATGGAGTCCTGGTCACATTTTTAAAAAATCAGACAGATGAACATGAAGGTCACTGCTTTGTGGCAGCCATCAGGTTGTTAAAAATAATGAATTTATATTGTTTCTATCGTTATAACCCACAAATACCAGAACTTATTTTTAAACTTCAAGGAAAATAATCACTAAATACAAACTGAGCAAAGAATGAACTGCCTTCTTTCCCTTTGACCATATTAATAGTAGTTTTGCTGACTTATGAGATTATTATGTCATAGTTTTTAAAAATGTGATTTTTTTTTTTTTTTTTTTGGGGGGGGGCTGTAAAAAGGGGGGGGGGGGGGGGTTGTTACTCACGCAAATAATATCTCTGCTTGTGTGTTTTTGGGGACATATATATCTCATACCCAGCATGTTTACACAGAATGCAATTATTGTATTAGGCATAGTTGCCACAGCATAGAGATTTCATGTCAGGAATATCCTGTAAATCCCCCCCCCCCCCATTCCTCCCTTCCTCCCCCCCCCCCTCCTCTTCACTGAGTGGTTGTTCTGTAAATAAAAGGGTTACAAAATATGAAGAATTGCATGCATGTTAACAACTGCTTATTAGTTGGAAATTGGAAGGTGCACAATGAAAATGCCTCTGCCAATTATAAATTCAAAAATAACAGAAAGAATATTTATTTATTCATGTTGAGTTTGTAGTAAACACAGATTTAAGTCCCCACTGATGCTGTGAAATTCACACACTTGGCTGTTGTTCTACTTTTGCGACGTTAAAAAAAGGGGGGGAGGGGGGGTGTTTAACATGTATACAGTATACAAGACTGAGTTTTTGCTAAGTACATTTCTGTGTTGCTCTTAAAAGGGCGGTTGAGACATTCTTTTGTAGCTTGCAGTTAGAGTGCAGTATTTCTGCCTTTTGGCTCATCACATCTGTTTTCTCTGAACCCTCTTTTACAACACGCTTGTTGGGGGAAGTGGGTCATTTTTTTTTTTTTTAATTGGGCCCTGGAACCCATGTGGCTTTATTAAGTACAATTTTAACATTTTTAAGTGCTACGATCTAGAATATTATTTTTTATGTTGTTTTTTTAAACAGGATCATATTTGTCTTTCACAAAAATAACAACACTTGCACGAAAGCTAAAGTGAAACCACCCCGTTTAAATGGCCAGCGAGTTGGTGTGTTTTCCACAAGATCGCCCTACAGACCTAGTAACATTGGGTTGTCATTAGTTAAGATAGAAAAAGTGGAAGGTAAATATTTTTTTTTTTAATTGTCTGTCTTAAATTCATGATGACATCATCCTGTTGTGTTGTACCTCTAGTCTTAGCTGGCAGCTGGTCTTTGAGGGAAGACAGACAGAGCACTGCTTCTGCAGCATGCTTTGTTCTAGATATATTGGTGTTACCTTTTCTCCGGAGTTAACAAAGCAGGCCAGTGAGAGATCATGCTGCATGGGCAACTTAAGGTATCTACAATACTACCCAGGGTTTGGGCTGTGAAGAGGAGGAGCGTCATTCCTGGCCCTAATTGGTGTCGCCATTGAAATTTTCCAGACATTCAGTAATTCTCCAGCCATAGACTACTGTATTTGCTCTTGTGGGTTCTGGAGCCCCATTTTGGGGGTGGGAATACACCCACTGCCCCCCTAAACAAGTATGTTGTTAATGTTCATTAATTAGGGTTGTTTTCCTCCAACGTTCCCAGTGTTATCACAAGGGGAAGTCAATAAGTAAGTCACAAATGGTTATAGGATAGCAAGAAAATGTGATTGGTGGTTTCTGAAGGTGTCATTAGGTGACAGCAACATCAAACTTTATGTCTTCGTTCTTGAGGTGGCGCTAGGTTTTACATGTGCATTCGCAACACAGAAACATAATGCTGACTATACTTGCGAAGTGTACCCTCAAATAACAACATGCTCTTGTGCATTTTTTAAGGGCTGCCTTAAGGACACTTATAAAGAATTACTTCCTGTTTATGCTGACAAATATTTATCCCGCAAAGCGGTGCATAGCTGGATAAAAATAATTTCTCAAGAATGCTCTACGATTGATGATGAAGTTTGAACTGATCATCGTGTTGAGATTGCAACAGATGCATCTGTGCAGCGGGTGGAAGAGATGATTAGAGGTGACAGGTGAGTAACGATTGACTCTGTAGCAGCTGCAGTAGGGTGCTCACATGGCTTAGCATACAAATACCCCTAGCGATTTCCGCCTTTTTGATCCATTTTATGAATGACACACAGGTTGAATCTGAAGTGAAAATGTGCTTTAGAAAACAGCAGAAAGTTCTGTGCAGAAGGTTTGGGAAGACAAATAAAAGATGGGACAGATGCATCAGTGTTAATGGATAAATAAAGGGAAAGTCTATGTGTAAAAGTATATGGTTTTCAAGTTATCTTCTTTTTTTGTGACTTACTTATTGAGTTCCCATCATACATACTCCAGCTTTCCTTATCTAATGTTGTGCCCAAATAATATAGATTGCTTTCTTCTGATATTAAAATAAATCTAAATTTAAAATGTATTAGCTTAAATTAGTCTATGGTATTCCACAAAATAAGCATATTATTAAAGGTAGAGACTGAGAAAGCTATGGAAATATAAAATGATCATAAACAGAGTGTGGTTAAGTTTATTCTTCTAGCTATCTCTATCTGTTTGTATTCATGTCTTTTTTTTTTTAAATGTATTTATTTCATTTGTTTACTTGCTATGTGATAAAAGTTCATAACATACATACAATTTTCTTTCAGGGGCATCTGTATACGTTTCAGGAATTGACATTCTTGATGGCTCCCCAGTGCTTGACATTAAGCCTTATATACCTGAATATGATAAACCCAAAGAAGAACTTGTACCATCAGTATATGACAGTTATTCAGACATGACTGCTGATGTTTCTAATCCAGTTATGAATGTCAGAGACAGTTGTGTCCATAGCAGTTTTCCAGATCAGAATAGCAGAGACAGCAGTGTGTGTAGCAGTTTGCCATATCCAAATGTCAGAGACAGCAGTGTGTGTAGCAGTTTGCCATATCCAAATGTCAGAGACAGCAGTGTGTGTAGCAGTTTGCCATTTTCAAATGTCAGAGAGAGCAGTGTGGGTAGCAGTTTGCCAGATCCAAATATCAGAGACAGCAAAGGGTTTAGCAGTTTGTTAGATACTAATATCAGAGACAGCCAAGGGTGTAGCAGTTTGCCAGATCAAAAGATCAGAGACAGCAGTGTGGGTAGCAGTTTGCCAGATCAAAATATCAGAGACAACAGTGTGGGTAGCAGTTTGCCAGATCAAAAGATCAGAGACAGCAGTGTGGGTAGCAGTTTGCCAGATCAAAATATCAGAGACAACAGTGTGGGTAGCAGTTTGCCTGAACAGAAAAGTAAAGTGAGCATAAGTAGTGGTGAAACTGTCCAGACTAGAGGAGTTCTACCTTCAGATTTGTATAGAAAAGATGAAATGGCAGAAGCTAATCATGTTTGCGACAGTTTACAAGAAAGTACTTGTGCATCAGATGTTTTGCCAGAAGCAGTAACTTTAAGAGAAACAGGTAATTTTTGTCAGGTTAACAAAAATTTGAGCGATTCTTGTGTTCCAAAGAAAGAAATGAAGGATGCAAAGATATCACTAGATTCTAGAGAATTTTGTGCTTTGAAAGCACGGACAACAGTTGCCTCGTGGCTGCTAAAGCCCCCTGTAGCCAAACTTGATGTTATATTCACACCTCAAGCTCTGAAGCAGTTGCAGAAGTTTAGTAAACAATCCACAGATGTCAGATACCAGTTCGAGATGTTTTCAACCCCAGAAGAGGCAGAAAAGTCTATTGCAGATATTTTACGCGAGGAACCCCGTTCAGTGTACCGGCGCCAGCAGTGCCAGGATAGTCTCTACTACTTTGCTGTAGATGTGTTGCATGTGACCTGTTGGTTTGATGAAAATATTGCTCAGGTTGTCAGGATCAAACCTGTGGCATCTGTTCCTATGATGCAGCCACATACAAAGTAATTTCTTTTTATTGTATCACATAACTTCTTCTTCATTGGCCCTTAAACAGGAAGTTGGCAGGTTGTTTTGTTTACAGCTAGGATGTGCTATGTGCACTTTTTTGTCCAGCACATCAAATATCAGCAAGACTCTAATTAGTCACGTTTGACACAATTTTTTATTGGGGACAGTGGGGCTCCTATTCTTTCCTCCAAACTGAAACACTGGATCCTACACAGGGTAATGTATCACAAATTATTTCTTAAAATTTTCTTATGTCTGCTCTGCATTCAAACCATGTTGGGACTGAATGTGCTCTCTGTGAATCTCTGTCACATGATTTTAAAAAAATGAATGTTGTGTAGCTAAATGAGGAAACTTCACTGGAGATGTTGCATTTAATGTTATTAGAAAGAAAACTATTTGTGTGTTAGCCGGGGTGGTTAGAAGTATGATCATTAACATGCACTATGCCGATAGTCAAAGGCAGTACTGGTGTATGATGCCAGTTGTCAACAATGGTAAAGCCACAAATCTGAGCCTGCTGCAGTATTTCAGAGCTATGTGTGTAAATACTTTATAATATTCACTGAGTAAATCAAGCTGTGAAATGTGTACTCATTGGGATGTGGGATGATAAACTCTTTCAAACATCTGTACTTTGGTTGACTTATTTTTACCAGGAGAAATGGCAAATATTTTAACATGTGGTACCTGCGAATTATACGTGACATTATGTGTGGCAAGACAAAATCACAAACACCGAGGATACTAGAATTAAGAATGATCATGCATGCCAACAGTTTTAATAATGCTCAGATGGCTAGGGCATACGTGGAAGGTAGAGTGCCTATGTTGAATTACATGTGGGGGGAAAATGTTAAGGTCGGCCTCTACCACTATATAAAGATGTGTGCAAGTGAGACATAAGTAATGCAGTTATTAAAATTGATTTTCCCCATGTGGTGTCTGGGGCCCCATTGTGGGGAAAACAAGAATAGACCCACTGCCTCTCCAACAAGTATGTCGTATGAGTCAACTAATTGTGGACATCCTTCGAAATTGGAGTATATCTGCCTACGAGGCAAGGAACCTACTGTCTGCATACAAATAAGCCTAAACTGTGAAATGGATGTGCAACACTCAGGTTCTGGAGCAAGACTAGAGTCCAGGCGTAGACGAACACCTAGAACTTTCTGCTGGAGTTTACAACTGATACACAAAGAAAAAAGTATTGGATTTGTGGGAACAGGATGTCATGAGCATGTTGAAGGTGAGGAAAAGCATGAAGGAAATGGGGATAAAGGAGAAAAAGACCATAGATAATATAAAAGCTGAGCGTGCAAGAAAAAACATATCTTATACATGTGATGGTGACTTCTTCTTAAAGTCCATGCCGTGTGGCGTTGGTAGATTTGTCTATCCACAATCTTCTGTCTCATGTACTTTCTATCAACTCTGACACAGATGATCTTCCATGCCGTGTGGCGTTGGTAGACTTGTTTATCCACAATCTTCTGTCTTGTGTACTTTCTATCAACTCTGACAGAGATGATCTTCCATGCCGTGTGGCGTTGGTAGACTTGTCTATCCACAATCTTCTGTCTCGTGTACTTTCTATCAACTCTAACACTGATGATCTTCCATGCCGTGTGGCGTTGGTAGACTTGTCTATCCACAATCTTCTGTCTTGTGTACTTTCTATCAACTCTGACACAGATGATCTTCCATGCCATGATGAGACTAGGTACTACAGTTTTTTTTCTTTACATCACATGACCAAAGAATGAAGATTGTCTCTTTCTGATGTGGGCAATCAGTTCTCTTCATGAGTCAGTTTCTTTCAAGGCGTCTTCATTTCTCTTTTAATCTGTCCAGCGTATTCTCATCATTCGTCTGTAATGTTGGCCGTGAGCCTGAAATCCCAAGCTCTTATTGTGGAATATTTGTCTTTAACGCCAGCGAGTTTTGCTAGTGACACTCACCATCATGAGCTCTACAGTTATTATGGGTTTCATAAGCACACAATAACTTATCATTTTCAAACTTAAAAATCTTTTCTGGACACCGCCATATAAGATCTAATGTAGTCTTTTTGCCCGCCCATTGGGGTGCAAAGTGTTTGACCGGTTTAAAAAAAAATAATTTTAAAGATGTGACTTTTGAGGTAAGGTGGCCAGTTCCCTTTCTCATCGCCTTTCCTTCCCAGGGAATATCCAGAAGAGTGAACACTGGTACCCATTTGTTAGGCTGGGTCAGCTACGGAACCGTACAGGGCATAACATTACCCTGTCTCAACTGGAAATTGAACATGGATCACTGTCTTGGTAGGCTGTTGCTCTAACAACTATATATGGGAATCTCTTTTTCATTCTCTCTCTCTCTCTGTCAAACTTCTAATCCATCCTTATAACCATTTTGAAAGCTCCAATTTAACTCACATTACTTATTCATTGTCCATGTTTCTGCTTAATAATATGAAGAGTAAATATCGCCTTTGATTACTCTTATATTGAATTCGCACTTAAACAATCTGATACTATTGAATGGATTAAACAACGTCCCAGTAGGGGGACGCAGTTTTTCGTTATTTTAAAGCCCCATTCCGGCAGTTGTCGGAGGCCCTAATATAACCCAGCCCCTACAGGGTTTCTGGGATTTGTGTCATCGGCCTTGGTTGCTCGATCTACTGTCCTGGCTGGTTTGAACAACAACATACTATTGTATGTTGCATTGTCCCTTTCTAATTTGTTTCTCACAGTTTGCTTTACCACCACCATCGTCAATTACTCCTGTTCAGGAAAGTGGGAAGGAATAGTTGGTGGTCCAGAGGTCGGTGAATGGCACTATATATTGTTATCCCATTTGAATACAGACTGTCTTTAGTTACTGTTTTTATTTTATTTTAAGAACTTCTTCTTTTACGCCCTCTTTCTCTTAAATCTGCACTATGTAGATACTCTTACATCTGATTTTGTGTGTGGGACAAGAGGAAAATGTCCTCAGCTGATCTGTCGGGCATCGATTGCATTAATTTCGAGAATTCGTGTCGAGAAGATGTAATATCTACCATACGCATTTATTAGCAACTGTAAACCTCTTTTAACGAGAGAGAAAATACAATGTTACTGACATGTAATCGGATCTGCAGGCCTCTCCACAGACCTGGTAATAGGAGAAGAGACAGGCTAAGAGAGATCTAGATACCGAATTTTGGAGGAGCCTCAAAATAGCATATGGTCATGCCTAGTGGACGTAACAAACCAGCTTTGGTAAAACCTAAGAGACTTTGAGCTGTCATTCCAGTTTATGGACCACAGCGGATGGATTATGTGCACGACCAGAGTTTGCTGCAGAAGGAGGGTACAGAATGTTACTGGGCAGACCGGAAACATGCAAACACACAGTCTACTGATTTGTCTGAGGTGGAACGAGCCTTACAGTCAACAGCAGCTGATGACCCAGCGGCGCGCGGTTTTAAGGGACTATGATGGTGTTTGTAAGCAAAGGACTCGCTCTGAGCCAATAAACGTAGGCGGTCACGGTTCGCCATCTCTTAAGATCATCAGACCATGACCTACTTTGGATCTAAGGTTTAGGTTTATTTGGCGGATCAACATCACGGCACAGGGGTGTAACCCATACGTGTTCTGTTCTATTTCTAACTCAAGTCTGAGTCTGAAGAATCTCAGCGCAGTGCGCGAACTCCGTTGCACCGGCGAGGATCCTGAAATACTTCAAGTAAATTTTCAACTCCAACCCCGGACTTTCAGTACTCGAGGCGGATCTAAAGTAGGTCATGATCAGACTATCTGACCAAGATGAGTGAGTACTTGTCCAACTTATGCTATATGGTCAAGGAATTAACACTTTGAGTCCCAAGGAACGCATCATTCGTTCATAGGTTTCTACCTAGAAGCCCAATGAACGTATCATGCGACGATTTTATGTCTCTCTTCACTACCCCTTGGGCCTGTGATGCTAAACCCACTGAGACTCAAAGAATTAAGATGCTTTGTTCTCCCGTTTTCATTTCTAATTAAACTGTCCAGCTGACACTCCGTTTTCAAGCTTATTTCTCCCCTTAGCATGTCAAACAATCGTGACTATCTACGTCAGTTGTATCTTACACGCGTTACCGTTGTTTTCTGTTTGAGGGTATTCTTTATGATTTCCTAGTAACCACATATCTACTAACATTAGTTTCTAAGCGTGTCGCCGTATTGTCAACGTTCCACATGCAAGCAAGTTGGGGAGTAAAGATCGGCACAACCAAGCATGAGAAGCATACTGGACGCACACGAAGTCTTGTTAACCAACATAGGACTGGTACTATTAACTGCACGACGCTGATGAATATGTTGGGAGGGGAATCTGAGCGCTTGTGGATGTGTCCGGAGTGCTGTGAAGATAATCTAACTCATAACTTATATTTAGTTCATTAACACTTCGTATCAACTTGGTTAATATGCTGCTAGTCACACAATACCATAAGCCATTATGGCACCCAGTGGCTTATAAGGTTAACATTATCATCATCATGTGCCCTGCCAGCTGGCGTAGGCGCTCATGCATCTCCACAGATCATGATCATTGGTTGCCTGGAACAGCTCTCTTGATGATATCCCTCCATGCCATTTCAGCTCATTTAGCATCATCTCTCTTGGTCTGCCTCTACCACTTTGTCTACTGATCTTTCCAGTTGTCACGATGTTTTCCCATGCCTCTCTTCTCATTATATGGCCAAAGAACAGTTTTTGTCTCCTTCTTATTGTTGTATGCAGAAATCTACTTTCATTAGTTTATTTCAAACAATCGTTGTTAGTTACTCTGGCTGTCCAAGGTATTCGTAACATTCGTCTCAGAAACTACATATCTGTTTTCTTCCATATTCTTCTTAATTTGTTTACTGACATTCCAAAATTTTCTTCCATACAGCAGAACAGGTTCTATGTAACATTTTAGCACTCTCTTTCTGACGTTTAATTAGAGCGACTTACTGCATAACATATTTTTCATTT